ACACATGCACACACGTCCACGTGCATGTACAGCCATGCGTGCTAGTTGGTTGTATATGATTGTTGGTTAAACTTTGTGTTTTTTGTGTTCCACTGAGATCTCGTGTCTCTGGTGTATTAACTTTCATAGCTTGCATGATTTGGAATTCATTTTAATCTAAGATTTAAGTTTTGAAATCTTAATTGGTTGAGGCTGAATGTAGTAACAGTAGGGGTATTGTTGCCTCATTTTAGTACTAGGATCAAAATGGTAGATATATAGAGTATACTTGCACCATGGCAAGCATACTGATATGGTTATGAAAGAGAATTTCATGTTAAATAAAGCTGGACTTGTTTCTGAAAATATATAATCACCAATACGTGTGAGAAACTTATAGTAACCAATGCTCATTTGCTATGTCAACTGTTGAATGAATCATTATAATGTTATTTTTTAGTAGTGACCATCATTAGATGAGGTCTATTGAGGAAATTTTTTAGTTTGACAAAAAAAAATTGAGGAAATTTTTTGCACGGGTATTTACATTGGCTGCACTGATATGAGCCAGTCTGTGCATATTTTTGTCTGTCATGATATATCATTGTTTTAAATGTAAACCAGATCCATTTCGTGGCTAAGGCTTTACTAGGTACCAGATATCTATAGGCTAGACACAGTCAGTAACACCCACACATTCATGGGCACATACATGTACATGTTTGTATTTTCATAGCACTAAGAGTATCCTGAAGCCTGTAGGTTTGCAATCTGTTTCATTGAAATTGAGAGTTTAGGTCTTTGCAGTCAATAATTACTTCTGTTTTGGTTTGGCTCACGATGTCTATCCAGTTCCAACTGCCTGTTAGAGCTGAACTTTTTGGATTATATGATTGTTCTTACTGCATGCATCTTCGACTTCACTGTATTTTCATGTCCAAATGCTGTTATATTACTGATATTCTATACACTCAAAAGAGTGTCTGTTGATTTCTGTTCCATCCTTTTGCACAATCACTTCAGTTGTCTAAGTGGAGTTGCAAGGACATGGAGCATGCCTGAGGTAAAGAAGGTGTCAACCTTGAAGGGACATACAGAACGAGCTACAGATGTGGCATTTTCTCCCACCGGAGACCAATTGGCAACAGCTTCTGCTGACAGGACTGCCAAATTGTGGAACAAAGAAGGATCTCTTTTGAACACATACAAGGGCCATCTGGATCGCCTCGCACGTATTGCATTCCATCCATCTGGAAAGTACTTGGGAACAGCTAGCTTTGACAAGACTTGGAGATTATGGAATGTGGAGACTGGTGAAGAGTTACTCCTCCAAGAAGGTCACAGTAGGAGTGTGTATGGAATCTCCTTTCAGAATGATGGTTCCTTGGCAGCATCATGTGGACTGGATGCGCTTATTCGGGTTTGGGACTTGAGGTCTGGAAGAAGCATTCTTGCCCTGGAAGGCCATGTTAAGCCTGTGAGACTATTTCTGCCTTGATATTATTGGTTCCCCCCCAACCCCCTTTTTTTTCCTGCTTTTACTCCTGACATTTAAAAGAGAATTGGGTGCAAGTGTTAATCAGAGGATTTTCTACTTTCATTTTTGCAGGTTCTTGGTGTCAGTTTTTCTCCAAATGGTTATCATTTGGCCTCAGGTGGTGAAGATAATACTTGCAGAATATGGGACTTGAGGAAGAGAAAATCTCTATACATAATACCTGCTCACTCCAACCTTATATCTCAAGTAAAATTTGAACCTCAAGAAGGGTACTTTTTGGTTACAGGTTCATATGATACTACGGCTAAGGTATACTCTCTTTATGTCCAATTCAGTTGTATCTTTTGGGCCTTTTTTCCTGTTTGCATTTATCTCTGATTTCTGATTTATGCCACTAGGTGTGGTCATCAAGAGATTTTAAGCCCATCAAGACACTGTCTGGGCATGAAGCTAAGGTGACGTCACTGGATGTCGTAGGAGGTAAAGGAATCTTGCGTTCAGTTCTGCAATTTTGATCTTTCTTCTCTTGCTCTCCTTACATACATATGGAGATCTTGCACAATCTTGGGTGATTTTCAGACTTTGGATAGATTTGTCTTCAAGTTTTGTGTGTTTTTTTTTTTAAAACCCGTGCAAATTTAGCTTGGAGCCATGAGGTGTTAGCTCGCTCTTTTTCATGTCCGTTCAGTTTGTGCCTTAGGGAGCATGTATGAAGTTGCAATTCCTAAAATATTACTGTTGTTGGAAATTGAGGCTTGCTGTCTGTCAATCAAATGTCAATATTGAATGGTGAATGCATTTCTGAGCATTTGAGATGATGTGTATCTTGTGGTAGATAAAGCGTGAAACTTCTTCAATTCTGTGAATGGATAACTAATTGATCAGATTTATATATTGCAGATGGACAATATATTGCAACCGTTTCACATGATCGCACCATTAAGCTTTGGTCTGGAAGAAACAGTGAGAAAGAGAAGACGATGGATGTCGATTGATTGAGATGGTGGAATGAGCAAAGCATGTGCTGCTGTTAATGTGGAAGCTTGGGCTGCATATTTAGACGTACATTGGCTAATAGGGGCTCTCTTGCCCTTTAAACATGCTTGATATACGTGTTTTTATCCTGAAGCAATCAATTTTGTCATCTAATGTTTTTGTCCAAGCATTGCAATTAACTCTTTGAATCATGGTTAATTAAAAAATGGAGCAGAATATGGCCTGGCATGGTTAAAGCCTCCTGCTCCCATAATTTTACCTAGTTAATGAAAAGCCAACAAAGAAACTGAAAAATGGTAACTCGGGTGTGAGCACAATAAATTTAAATGCAGGTTAAAAGGGAAAGTAGCAAATCATCAGTCATTACTCATGAGAGAGAGTAACGTAGAGTGCTTTCTTTTTCTTTTTCTTTTTACTTTTATTTTTTTAAAAAAAAAAGGAGAATGAAGTGAGAATCCAGTAAATGGGCTACATTAGTTGGAATTTTGTTCATTGTTTTTTTATCCTAGCTTGGTATTTTGTTATTGATGTTGATCAATCCTAGTCCCGGAGATTATTACTTCTTCATGAATCTCTACCAACCAAGTTTTAGGCCGAATATACAATCAAACCATTTTTGTAGTCAAATTTCTTGGATTTTGAGGATAATTAGCACTATTGAGTTCGTTTCTCTATTTACTCTTTGTTCCTTGTTTCTTGTTTTCAATTTTGAAGCGAATTTCTACTCACTGCTTTGCTTTTGGGCATGCAAACACTCCCTTTTTTAAAAAAAAAAAATTTTATTTGTTGTTTGTGACTTTTCATCTACTACTAGTAAGGACTAAAAGCTTAGCCAGGAGTGAATTTGCAATTGCTGGCTTTCAGTTGGACTCCTCCATTTTTGTTCGATCAAATTAGTTGAACCTATTGTGAGAAGCGGATTCCATCCCGTTTGCATATGTACATATATTGTATGGAAACATAAAGGGATAATTGCAGAAACCTCCCTTGAGGTTTCTGACACTTGCACTGACCTCTCCTATGGTTTGAAAAATTGCACTGAGCTCCCCTGAACTTACTAATCCTTTGCAAATTCAGTCCAAAATGATTAAAATATTAATGTTTTATGGGGTGAAATTAGAATTTTGTACCAGATTTGCCCTTTGTGCTATATGTCCAATGAATGACAAAGTACTACAAATCAATTAACAATTAATAAATTTTAAGGGGCGTAGTTTATGGGCAAATACGCATTACCCATTTAAAGTACCGGCTCTTTATGGATATTTTACTTTCAGACATTTAATTTATGATAAATATATCAATGTTTGTAAGTAAAATTCAAAAAGTGTTACAGTAATATTCTTATAAAAAGAAAATCCGTAGGTTATCTATTTAATATAAATTAAATATTTTTAAAAAAATAAATGGCCCATAAAATATTAATTCTTTATGACATTCATCCATTAGATGAGTAAAGTATCGGCTCTTTATGGGTATTTTATTCTGAATTATTTAATTTATATTAAATACATAAATGTTTGTAACTAAAATTGAAAGAGTATTACATTAATATTTTTACGGAAGAGAAACTGGTAGGTTTTGTATTTAATAAAAATTAAATATTTGAGAGTATTAATTTGAGAGTTTTCATCTACTACTAGTAGGACTAAAGCATAGCCAGGAGTGAATTTGCAATTGCTGGCTTCAATTTGACTCCTACATTTTTGTTCGATCAAATCCTATTGTGAGAAGCGGATTCCATCCCGTGTGCATATGTACATATTGTATAGAAATATAAATTGTAGTCGAAATTTTGGGGTCTAGGTCAAGAAGGAAATTATGGTTTCACCATTATCAATAAACTATGATTAATTATCAGTATACTTCCAGAAAAGTCCCTAGATTCAATCTGCAAGGGAAAAAAGAATTGAGGGGGAAGGTCTGTCAGACAACTGCAAGGCCACCCTAATCCATGGCAAAGCACGGACTAGGAACGATCCTCTACTGCACTTGCAACCCGACAATCGGAGCTGCAAGAGCTGTTAATCACACTCTGGTCAAGCAGTCATATTTCATCCACCAGACTTGGTTTCCTGTCTCCTTAGAACTCAAGGACACAGAGGTACGAGCCTATAGAACAGATCCTGTTCAAGTAAGGTCGTGACCTCTGTGCTCCAGTCCTAGACATATAAAGGGTGCATGGCTCAATCAATTCGTCGATGTGGGATATTCTCATGTTGTCAAATTCATTCCATTCCATATATACAGCAGGTACTATGGCCAACAATACAACTACCTTCCGGTGAATAATGGGTTACCGCTGACCATAAAAGATAGTATCCACATGCGGCTCACTGGAAAAGGGATTTACTCGGCCAAAAGATCAGGTCCTCCTTTGTAGTAGGAGATTCAATTGTATTGACATTTCTGGATTTTAGTCCATCAGAAAATGTGTTGCAATTATTCATATTCGATCAGAAAATAGGACTACTGAACAGAGCGGTTACCAGAAGGAAATAACACACCAAAATACTCTGAGGCAGTATGCTCCTAAATTCAGAATAAATTAGGACTTTGGTGGGAGTGTTCTCAATAGAACAGGATTTCGTAAGGCATGCTCAACAATTAGAAGATTTCGAGTACAACAAAGAAATACACTATTTTTCAGAATCTGAGTTATTATCTAACTACGAGCAGGCAACCAACTGGGCAAAATTGCAACCAAAAAGGCGTAATCGAAAGAGACAATTCCAAGAGCAAAAGTTGTCCTAAACTGAACCACAAGAGAAAGAGTACGACACGTCCATGCTCGTAAAGTCTTCAATTTGTCAGCAAATTCCCCTGGACTCTCTTCCCCAATATTCATATGCAGGTACAGCCGCTGCTCTCCACTTCAGACAATTTGATCATCCCCAAAACAAGATGACATTCAGGTCTCGAGCAAGGACATGTTTACCCAGGAGAAAGTGCTTAATTTCCGAATTAAACAGTGAAATAACATCCCCTCTTTCATTTCCACGCACACAGTGAAATTCATCTTGCCTCACAGCTTACTTGTACCAGCCAGTGAGGATATATCTCAAGTAGAAACAAAAGCAGCAACATATCCCCTGTGATACAAATATAGTTTTTCACGGAACAAAAAAGAAAAAAAAATGTACGGCATTTGGGAACATATTATATATGAGACCTACAGATGCATCAAATACTTAAAACAGTATCATGGAGGTGTTTCCAAATTGAGGAAAGGAAAAATAAAAATAAAAAAGGGGAAAATATCAGGCTTGGTGGGTTCAATTGCTACTCTCTAGCCACTAGCATTTCTGTTAGGGCAAAAAAATTTTATTCTCTTAGCTACGGCCATTATTCCCGTCAGACTGAAGCAAGTACGACAGCATTAGGAAATGCTCCCATCTTAGTTGTTGATGTAAGCTGAAGAATTCAAGTGGAGCACTACCAATTCTCATAGTTCAACTATAAGCTGATCATAAATCCGTCCTCTTCTTTTTCCTTTAAATTAGTGTGAAAAAGAAGATTATGTTTGTAAGCGGCCAGAGCCTTGGTAAAATCAAGTTTTAATTTTGTTAGGTAGTTCAAACATCACATGATCACTGGAAGTAGAATAGGTTTGCCAAAGTTCGTTTCCAGCTGGGAAATAAGGAAAGGGGATATAATTACCTGGAAAACAAGTAGCAGGATGCAGAGCGACCTTTCTGATCTTCTACCAAATAGTCTTAAGAATATATTCACAAGAGTACCATCTTTTGTCCCGGTCAGTAAGCCAGATTGAGGGTCGAATCTGCAAGGAGTTCAAAGAAACAACTGGAATAAAGTAGAAAATTTACAAAATCACAAAGCCAAATCCTGCGTTAACTGAAGAAACATACCTAGGCAGTCGATGTCGTGGACAATATATGATACCAGCTAGCTGATACAAAGAAAGAGAAGGGGATCAGACTTGCTTAATCAACAAACACGAAAAAACACATTCCATTTTGGAGCCAATTGGCCTCGGGGTCCAGGGGCAGGGCCATATGCATGCACTTGCATGTGTGGTGTGTGTGTCCCATGTGTTTTTTTGTGTGTGTGTGTGAAAGAGAGAGAGAGAGAGAACCTGAGGGAGGGATGCCAAGAAGTTTAAAACTTGAGGAGTAAAAAATATCAACAGAGTCTCACTGAAAGAAATTCGAAAAATAATTTTATCAGCCAATTAATACCATAAATTAGCTAACCAAGCTTTAGCTTGATTAGCACATAAGTAACAGCCAAGACAGAATACATATGAGATCTGCACTAGAAAACTAAATTTATCAGCACAAAATATTTACAGAAAATTTTCAAATTTCAGTAAATCCATGACAATTTGCAAGTTAGAATTCCCATAACCTTTCATCTTCCAGTCTCAGTAACTGTAGGTCTTGACATGGAACACATGACCGAAAAATTTGACACGGTTAGGCCTGTTTGCTTTTGGTTACAAACACTCAATCACATTATCTAGTAACTTGTAATGGAACAGAACTAATTACAAATGGATAGACAATACAAAATATTTAAGTTTACTTGGGCCAGTTTTCAGCAATTCCTCATTTGAAGAATAATCAAGCTTACAGTTGCACATATCAATGCCAGCATCCTCAGTATATCTTAGCTATGAAATTACTAATCATTAATTGTGATTCAAATAAAAAAAAAAAAAAAGCAAGAAAAAGAGTAGGCTGAACACCATATCCCACTTTGAATATCAATTTCCTTACATTACCATTAATACTGCACTGTATTCTATCACTAAACATCTTAAAATCTTGACTGTGTTAGCATCTCTTATAACATGTACAACTAGACCTGATTAAAGCATGACATGTGCATGAGTAAAGAACAGGAAGCACAATGGTATTCATGTTAATTTAGGACACAAGTTTTGGGAGCAGCACCAAAATAGAATAATGAGAATTTGTAGAAACTTTAGACGGTGGAGGAGGACAATATTTGGCTTATACCAATTTCATAATCCACCAGGATCATAATAAAGCTGTAAATCACTAATTATCCACTCATATAATTCATTTTGAAACTTGAATTTGAGCAAGCTAACAACAAAAACCAGTATATCTTGTTATTCAATCAAAAGAGACACTAAATTTCCAAAACAGGAGAAGCCTGAGCTTATAGATGCAGTCGGGTGGGTAAAGAATAAAATAGTCAGCCAACTTGAAATTTCTATCTACGTATTTTAATATGTAAGTCCTACAATTTCAGAAAATCTTTAGTATTTTTTTCCTTCAAAAGTACAGGCACCAAACTGATTTCAAATTTCAATTCAGTTAAAGTTGAAAATCCTCATGATTTACTCAATGTATTTGGAGTTCATAAAATGCACTTTCCAAGTTGAGCACAAGCCCAAAAGCCAGATAGGAAGCAAATTCATGTTTAGAGTTTCAGACTTTCAGATAATAATCAAAAGCAAATTTGCTGTTCAAAGTGAGTTATATTGATAGCCAGGCCAGGTAAATGAAAATACGCACCTGAAATGGCCCAAAATGCCAACAACTGCCATTGTCATTCCAGCAAAGTATGTAAATGTATCACCAACAAAAACAGAAGAAGGATTCCTGGAATAGATTATATAAAGTACAAGAATTAGAAATTTAGAATATACAAACATGAAAATCGACATTACACTGCTAATCAAAGCACAAAAGTATCAGTACCAGTTGAAGGAAAACAAAGCCAGTGAAGTGGCAATTAATGGTTGAACAAGATATATTGAGAATGCATGGGCTTGTTGATACTCGGGATCTTTAGAACCTCCAATTTGCATGATGTTGTGTGCCAGGATCTGTAATTATAATTACTATCATTAGCTCTGGGTCCAACTGCCGATACACAGTTGAGCAAAGTCAAATTACCAAATGAAAAAGAATAATCACTTACAGCACAAGCTATAACAACTGTCTGTCCAACTTCAAGGCCATTAATGCCAGCATGAATGTTGATTGCATTTGTGCAAAATACAGCCAAAAGTCCCATATACAATTTATAGATCCATCCTGTACACAACTATATATTAGATAATTTGGTTTTGCAAATGATATCTACCACAGAATTACACCTGCTAATTACAGTTTGCAGCATGGGGTTATGCAGTAACCTTTTTTTCAAGTGAGAAAATAACAAAGCCAGGCCAATTAACCAGAAAAGAGAGCTTCTTCTTCTATTTGAGAACACAGAGTAGCAGGGTATGTTACAGAAAAAATTACCTAAATCAATATTCTCTCCAAAATATTGGACGAGAGGCTTTGGTATAATAATAGTTGTATGCCCAGCATAAGCCATTAGCAGTGGCAGAGCTGCAACAGATGGCAATAGCAATTTCCTGTCTTCAAAATGACATGACAGTAAACAAGCATGCAGGACATAACTTCAGGAAGACTGTGAAACAGAGAAATTCAGAAAAAAAAAATACAAACAACAAAAGCCGTTATATGACTTAAAACTCACACTCTCCAAGGTATGTCAAGGACATCATCTACGAAGCCAAGCAGGATCATGAAGCAAATAGATGCTAGTGCTGCATTGTATTCGACAAGCCACTATCCAAAAAAAATACCAATTGTCAGAAATCCAGTTACTGCAAGGTAGCAAGAGCCAAACTACCCAATGAACAAGAAACAGGCCATTAAAACAGCTAATTTTAAGTACTAGGCACAAAACATTAATCAGCCGAAATTCCCTGGAGCTAACTTGCGTCCAAATTCTGCTTCCTTTCCCCCTTTTGCTTCAATTTTTTCATTGAAAATAATAAGTTCAAAGCTCATTACCATCATTTCAATATGTTTTATATGAAGTGAGGTATCACTTGCTCAGGATGAAAGGCTTATTATTGTGACACTGGTGTTACGATAACATAAATTACATCCATAGGTATCTGTTTCCTTCTGAGTATACAAGGAATTTCAGTAGGAGAAGACATTGCCTTTAGAAGTCGTGGCCCCAAAAAAAATGAAAAGAAATGTTGTACTCCCATAAGCAGCAGCACAGGTGCAAGAACCTGGCTAGATGCTAAGGGAAGATATGTAGAGTGAATCCATAACCTAGTAAGCAATCTAAACTATGCTAGAAGTCCTGTTGCAGAGATTCCAGTTCAATTTGCTTGAGGCATAACCGGTAATGAAAAGAGTTCAACATTCAGAATGAACTGTGAAACACCCATACTTAGTATAGCAAGTACGCCACACACGCAAGTTTTAACCATGTGCATATTTCCATCAATAAAAGACAAATACAATTTGCCCTAATTAAGTAGGAAAAGAGATTTTAGCACTTGCTACAAGACCAAAAGATGGAATAAACTATCAGCAACTGAGGTAATTAACAAAACATAAAACATCACTGACTCCATTGTCTCAAGCTCCATTTGACATTGTATAGTCTTATAAACAACTAAGGCCAATATTTCCTCTCATTGAAACTACATTGTTGCCCCCCCCCCCGCCCTCCGGGGGGCCTTTCTATGATATGCAAAGGCCATAAAGTCTCGGTTGACCTTATCTTCCCAACATGGTTTTTCTCCTACTTTGTCTATCTCATCAATAATGCTGCAATTCCACTGCCTGTAGTGATACAGAACCCTAAACAGACTAGCCAAAAAGAAGAAAAAGATAGTCTCACATATCATGCACAACATTCTATGAATCCAAATATATGCAACAAAGGGTTAAAAATGAAGCAGTCAGAAGTTTAGCGATATCATAACGGTATTTCATAACTAATTTTAGCTCCAATGGGTGCTAGAAAGCAGGATACTTAAATATTTTTTACTTGACTCGCACACCATGTAATATTACAGTTCAAGCTTGAGTACAAAAAGCACATTGCTTATTCATGTTACAATTTTGCAAATCAGTTATACTTCTGGATTGGTTTCAGATTATCTCACACGTAGGTGGATTCAGCTAACCATCTTGCTCAGATTGAACCTGGACGACATGACTTTACATTCAGGAATATAAGTACACTTCCATATATCTGCATTATGTACAGGTTTATTTACCAGTTTATAAGTCATCCTACTTTTCCTTGGATTCACCTGAAAAGTGAAGCTTTGAGATTAGTTGACTATCACTGCCCACACATGCTAATGCTTCCTCACTAGTCAACAGCTCTGCTTATCTAATAAAAGGTCCATGCCCATCTAAACTAGGTTCATGCATTAAGAAAGTTCCACTCACTTCTTCTTTTTGTTAGGAATAAAATACCATGACCTATATACCTCGCATCCTATATCCTATCCATTATCTAACTAAAATCCAATATTTTCTCAATAAACAAATTTTTTTCTCTTCAGAAGTTTTAGCTTAACCAACAACCAATTTCCTCGTGCACTTCATCACCACAGAAACAACAATAATTCAAGATACATCTCATGCACTTGTAAGAGATACGTTTATTGCGAAAAAGGTATAGAGAAGATTGAAGTTGCATGAACATAGGAGTAATAATCAATTATATGCACTCACATTTGAATCTGCTGGGATATTGGCAAATTGAAATAAGATCGCTGATACTAGAAATACAATCCCAACCACGATTCCCAACGACTCAGGCCTGCAAAACATTAAACAAACACGGAATCAATCCTGCAACTTAATTTAAGCTCAGTATTCTAACAAGCTGAACTATCGAACATTGGAATAATAATACCCAGTTCTACACAAATTTCAGCCACATTTAGCCGAAAACAGAATCAACTTCCTGCTATTTCAAGACATTCACAGTTCTTCATCAATCAAGTCTTGCCTATCAAAAATTTACTTGTAAAAATCATATAAAAATGCAACTGAAGAGAAACATTTCAGAAACGGAAAAACCTAAACATTACCAGGAAAAATCGGAAAAAGAAAAAAAGAAAAACTCACACTTTGACGGAGCCCTGAGGGGTACCCTTCTTATTGATGTCATAGCCGAACAAATTCCTCCTCAAAACGTACTTAGAAGCAACAGGGATCAAAGCTAGGGTTAATACAAACCCTAATAAGCTGACAACGGCATTAATCAAAATCGACTTTTTCAGCTCCCATTCGATTTTGTAATGGTACAAGATTGCGTAGATATAAGGTACTGCAATAGCCAACCAACAACCGACGATGACCCCCCATTTTGCGCCGGCGATCGGCTGGTCTTCGGGTTTGGGAGTCGGATTTGGTTCGGGTGGTGCGGGTCGGGCTGGCCCCGGCACTGCTGCTCGTTTCCTGACAGTCATGGCCTCCGTCTCTACCGTGTTTTCTTCCCGTTCTCTGTTGAGCCTGCTATATGTTTGAGTGTGGAATATGGTGATGTTTACTTGGGTGGTTGGACGAATGAGAATTGTATACGTCGGATGATATTGTCATATGTGGACCTTAATTCTGACGTGGCAAATACACTTGAACAAATTTATTAGGAAGATGAGGGATGGCTATGGCATTTTGCATCTGATCTACTATTAGGATTGAACTTTAAGATTGTTTTTTAAGGAAAAAAAAATAGATTAGAAATTTATTTACCTAATGAGAAATCAATTCTCCAATGTAATGGAAAAAAAAGTTTTAGTACAATGAAATAAATTCTCCAATGTAATGAAAAAATTTTAGTACTTCAAGGTTGTATGATGCTGCCTTGATGGATGGAGCTTGGCATCTGCAGATAAACTTTTATCCAATTTCGCTGAGTTATTTATGTAGATTTTACAATATTTGTTGTGAAAAAGTACAAATTTAATATGAGTGAGGCTAAATTCACAATCTAAATCCACACTCTTATAAACTAAGTTGACCAAAAAACACGTAGAATTTATGAGGCTTGGGAGAAGCTTAATCAATATAAAAAAAAAATTGGCCTTTTTTTTGTGAAAATAGATTGTGCTAATTTTGATTTAAAATTTACATCATTATGAATGGTGTTAAATATTTTGATTTTTTTTTTTTCATTCACTTTGATGGCATTCATTTTTTTTTCCCTCTAATTTGGTGGAGGCTAGATAGAATGTCTTTGTCTCTTTCTATCATATAAGAGGAGATGGGAAATTTTTTTTTTTCAGATATTAACTTTTTATGCACTAATATTATCGCGATTTTTTTACACTAGAAGCTATATATGTGCATGATTTGAATTTCAAATTTAAATTCATATTATGTGCTATGATCTAAACCTGCTAATATAAAAATTTTGTACAATGACAGTGGATAAAAAACTCAAGATTTTTTTTAATTGTATTAAAAAAATATTTTTTTTACCTTTTTGGCAAATTACACTTCAAATTTGATTGAAATATAATTTTAGAAAGCACATGTGGATTAACAATTAAGATGATTGTATCAAACAATTTTAATTAATTAAAATATATAATTGATTTTTTAAACATCTCTTTTTGCATGAAAGACAAGTTTTTGTATGATATTTTCCAAACCACAACCAATATAGAAAGTGATTTAATCTATCACATGTGAAGAGAAAGAGGGATAGAAAGATTAGTTAGTCAGGCGGAGTTATCATATCTACACGTGTCAAAAGCCATAATCTATCCCAACTTTAGTACCACAAAAACCTCTTCCAACTAGGAATGGTAATTGGGGCGAGTGTGCGCTGGAGGTTGATGGACTGGGTAGGGGGTCATTTTCTCCTCCAGTTAAAAAATAGGGTGAGGGAACGGAGAGTATACTCCCACCCTTTCACCTGCCTAAAATAAATAAATAAATAAAAATAATATATTTAATATCATTAGTTATACTAATAATTATACATTTATACCAAGACAAATTATTGATTAATTATACTAATAAATTTATAATAAATTACTAATTACACTGTTTACTAATTATATATTCACTCTATTAGCCTGGACACTAGGCAAATTCCTACTCCCAACAACGAAGTGATTTGAGGGAGGCATGGAGTTTATTGAAGTAAAGAACTGCAATAAGCAATTCAAACGTACATGTGCCGTACCCGGAAAGGCCCAAATAAAAGAAGCTAAAAGCTCGAGCCCGTAAACTCTGCGTTTGAATTTGCCGCCAGACTGAGACCCGAACTCCCGAACAACATAGGAAAAGGAAACCACTACTTTCCTAATACCGAAAGTATATTTAACAACCACTCTGTTCATTGTTCTTTTCACAAAAAAATTACAAGCAGAAATTAAGAAGCAAGTGATCATATCGACTTCTAGGTTTCATTCCTCGGTGCTTGAAGAGTAAGCAGACATTATCGTAGATAGCCTCAAGAATTTCTTCTTTTCTTCATCTTCCTCAGAAGGAGTCATGTCTCTTTGATCACCTAGTAATAGGGTTCTTTTGGATTTTGCAATTTCGGTTCTTGGGTTTGGTTAAGATTGTAGATTTTAGCATCTATTATTCTAGGGTTTGTTTCCGCCATTACCATCCAACATGACTGTTCCTGGGAAAGGCGCAGTTGGGAAGCAGAGCAATTTAGCAGACAGAAAATTGACTTCTCGAATTAATGGGAGCAACAACAAAGGAGCGGCCCAAGTCGTAGTAGTTCTAGATGGTAATCAAAGGAAAGCGAAAAAGAAGAGAATAATGGATACATTAAAAAGGTTGCGATGCAGCAACAACAGGATTGGCGCAAGTACTTTTAAGCCTAAGCAGCAGCAGGAAAGGGTATTGTGTGTGACGATTACCACCGGTGATCAATGCTGCTGTACGAGTGAAGCTAATCTTGCCGACGAATATGTTTTGAAGACGGCGTTATGCGCTGCAAGGTTAACACCCCGCTTCGCCGAAACTATTTCAGTAGCAAAAGCCGCAAAATTTAACGTCGATCAAGAAAAGGAGAGACCGGTAAAAAAACAGGGCAAAGAGGAAGAGGAGCTAAGATCAGCCGAGCAATTGAAGAAGAAAGAACCTGAATTGAGGCAGAGGGAAAGAGAAGCTGCCCGCGTTGGGTTACAGATGATAGAAAGCACTGTTGATTTGGAAGACAATCTCATGATTGTGAAGGAACTTGAGCAACTAAGTCAGTGTGCTCCCTCTTACATTATCCATGGATGCGACGGACCAGCAGTGATGGTATTGAGAGGTTTAAAGAATGGCAAAGTTTTGCACCCTTTAGAGCAGCTTGGCTTGCACTTGAAGGAAGAATTCAGGGCATTGGATGATGATGATGAAGACGCATATTTGAGTCGTGGGGAAGTAGAAGAAGGAGAGATCATCGAATCCTAGTTTTTTTTCACATAATGTTAAATTGCATTGTAGATATCATCAAATACTAGAATTCTGCACGTCAAGTTAACTTGCATTGTAGATATCATCAAGTTTTTCAAATTGTTAACTTTTGTTCATAACTTGATATATTGAATTCAACCTTGAGTTGCAGCTTTGATTTCTTGTTTTGTATTACTTATGTGAGAGTTCATATAGCTATTTAGTTTTGTACATATCTTGAGTTTATGAATTCTTGTTTTGTACGTTAATGAATTCAGAGCTTGAGTTTATGCTAGTTTTTCACAGACGAGTAAATTGAAGAGGTTTATGCGTACTTGGAGAGTTCAGTTTTCACTTAAACACAGTCATCCGTTCAAGATGAAGGCATTTTCTTGTTTCATGAAAGAGTGGTAGAATAAAAAAAATTGTCCAGGTATTGACATCTCAGCAGAGCTATGCATAAAAGGTAAGGTTATTTGGTGTATCTCAGGTTCCTGAAAGCTGCGAAAAACCTAAGAATTGTCTTGAAATTAAGTACTAATTTCAGCTTCTGTCACAAGCTGCCATTCAGCTGTTTAGTGTTCTGCTATACATATGATTAAACTGAAGTGTTTGATTAAACTACGAAGAACATAATAGTAATACATATGATCGTCCTTTATACCTTGAAGAAGGCCTTTGAGAAAAGAAAATTGGAGATCAGAAGAAGCAGAGCAATCTATTCTATCTCATTTTATAATGATAATGGTAGATTTTAGGCATTACCAATTTGACTAGTGGCCTGCACGGATGTTGTATTCTATCCCCAATTTCCCTTGTTTGCTCATCCTTTGTGTACAGATTACAAAAGCAGCCCCTCTTTACTGCATAAGTAATGCTTGCAAGATACACCGGACTAATTGCACACCTGCACCTAGCAGATGCGACAATTGCAAGTTCCATTTTTATGTTCCATTAATGAGTGTAAACTTCATGAGATGAGACAGCGGTAGAGTAATTCATGCTTGTTGGGACATCCAAAAACTTGCCTACTTTCGAACAGCCTGTATTACATGGTGCAATCTATTTCAGTACGTGGAGAACCAAATCCAGTTTAACTTCTTGATTCGAAAAAGATGAGCCACTTGCTTTTGCACAATTGCACTCCTGATTATCAACTGGAACAGCTAGAAGAACTTAGCTTTCGGGCCTTTTGGTTCTACTTCTGATCATCAAGGTAATCCCAGGACCAGGATCTCTCTCACTTGCCTCTGCGTCAACGTCTAGAAAATCCCAGTGGCTCACTAGTTGTCAATTGTCATGCATTACATCGATTCTCTTTTACATATCCCCACCATGGTTGTTATAATTTGTGGACGTTAAATTGGCAGCAATCTGCCTCTTCACATTCACCTCAACCAGCAGATGAGAAACCAGGGTTGGTGGAGCAAAGATTGTGACCATAATTAAAGCTGGAGAAGTATTTTCAGCCATATCAGGAACCACAGAGTAAAGATGCCAATCACAGCAGCTCTACATCAAGTTCTGAGCGTCCGTCAACTTGATCAATGCCAAGGTGTGGATCAGGCAATGATATGCTACAAAGAAGACCATGCATTTTGGTCAGGCATTAGATTTTAGCAGTGTTCAATGCTACTGTCCTTGCAGAGTCATGCCGCCACTTCCTCCATACTGTCCTAGGGGCACAGAAAATGTTTTCCATATCAAATATCGTTTCTCGATCAACAAGTTAACAGCCACTTTGCAGCACCATCGACTGCCAATTACCTGGAAGAAAATGAATACCCTGAATTTGATTACAAGACAAGAAAATCAGATACATGCATGCACTAAGAGAATGAATGAAATTAACCAAGTGGAAGCCGCAAAAGAACATAAAGAAATTCGCTGAACCATGAAAAACGCAGAGAAAACAGATTATTGACTCTTGATTAAAGCATATCTAGTAAGCAATGTTGAGAAAGAACTGTTATTGTCAATTGTCATTACCTAAAAGTCTCATTTATAATGATTATCAAGATGCCACATTCTCATGTATATATGGTTTGCGAACAAAAGTTATAAAACTTTGCCATATTTCAATTGGAAAAAGAAATGCCAAATTGATCAAAATCCATTTTCAAGTAAAGTAGCAC